TACGTTAACGTAAAAAATAAATAAGCGATTAATGCTGGTGCGCGGATATAACATATATAAGGACGCTCGCGATCGTCGGGTAAGTTCTGTACGTGACGCATGTATTCACGAATGAAAATGGTTTAATTTAGCGAGAGGCGACGCGCGCGCGCGCACTCTCGGCAACACAGGGTGGCAGGAAGGGAGGAGAGTAAGCTGAGGGGGATGAGAGGTGAATGAATGGCAGGGAGGTAGGGGAAAACGAAAGAATGGGGGATGAAAAGGAAGATGTATAGGATGTGTAGAAAAAGCAGAAATACACGCTTGTCATGGTACAGAACAGACTCGAGCTTCTCGAGCTTACGACGGAGCAAGCGCGCACCTCAGGCTCGAGGACAAGCACCGACATCTCTACAAACTCGTGGATATATTCTTGATAAAAAGTACGAGGTATAAACATAACCCTCATTAAGATGGATACGATAGGGGCGCGGAGGGATGGGGAAACGGACGGAAGAAGGAGATGAAGAAGAAGCGAGTGTGTGGTACTTGTACGCATCAGAAACGCAGACGACGACGACGACGACGACGACGCCGTTGAATTGCTCGCGGCTACCCGAGTCGGCCGTTCGGGATTGCAGACGCGTCTTGATATCATCGAGAGAAGTGATCGTCCTCGAGCCCAATATTATCTTTCCTTCGCAATTGCCTTTCGCGGTCTCGATCTCAATAGCGCCAAGACCGCGGGCGCGTTAACTTAATCTTAATTATGTTATTATATTGATGAAACATGATTGCTCCTTTTTACGTTCATCGTATACGCATTAAAATGTAAGATAATTAATTAATTAATGATAGAGTCCTTATACTCCTCGCGTACTCGGCAGTTTCCATTGAGTTGGATCAAACGTCAAGTGCGACCTGGGCCAAAATGGAGCCACGTGTCGCGCGTATATACAGTTCGATCAAGTCGATGAAAAGTGCTCACACATTCGTTATATCGTGTTACAGCTCGAAACGCTTGTTGTCTACGAAGTGACGCGAGAAAATCTTGCACATCTTCTCCTATGAAGAGTAATGACTTAGGATCTATTCCGGCAAGTTATCTGCATTTTATAACCAGAGAGACAACTTGATCTCTTTCCGCGCCTCTCGGCATCCCGCTTTCTCTCTTTCTCTTTCTCTCTAGTCTCGGAAACCGCTTCTCGCAGACGAGGCGAAGAATTGCCAGATTTTTCTTGCGCCACTCCATATACTCACATACATATATATATATATATATATATATATATTGAAGATATATATATATATATATATATACGTTGTTGAAATTACATCGCTAAAGCGTTGCGCGGAGCGACCGCACGCGCACGTTTGCGCCTCGAGCGCATTCATCGCGCACGTATCGGCGCGGTGCGCGTGGTCGCGCGCGCAACACCACGTTTGAAATTACGTCCGTACAAATATCGTTGAACATGTATAAAATTGGCTCTACCCTCTCACCACAAGCAGGTTGGATATACTACCGCAGCGTTAGCGAAAAAAGATTCTTAAATGTAAATTGATATAATTCAAGGGTTATCTTTCAAAAAAATGTAAAAATGACAAAAGATAAAATCGCGTTATGCGTGTATGTATCGCATCACTTACTGTACGTACGCGTAGGCACCTTCGTTGGCATATTTTATCATCGTATATATGTATATATTTATATTTTTATATTTATATTTACTTGTGTGTATATTTATACTTATGTCAAGCGGGTCACGCGTAGAGGCAGCAGTGAAGCAGAGAGGAAATAATCGACCAAGTATCGTATCTGTGTAAGAGCGAACATCGGTGTATATCGTTTACATCTGGTAATGCGAAAGTAATTAAACCGCGCGCGCTTCGCGGAAATACATCGGAAAAACGCTAGTTGTGTTTTCTGCATTTCAATTATTGCCTTGCATGCTTCGCGGAATCAATGGTGCTTGATTTAAGGGTCGAAATTCCATTTGGTTCGGTGTCGACGCTCCACCGGGTCTCGCGTAGTCACGGGCAAAGCCTAGCAATATCCACGGCAATTAGATCCAATAATTAAAGCGTGCACTGGAATTCCGGATTGACAAAACATACCCGCACTCTCTGTCATTCCGCGTCCTTTTTCGTTCAATTTTGCCTATTGTTGTAGCGTTAGCGACCGCTAAACGTTAATAGTGAGTTACGCGTGCGGCAAACGTTACACGTGGTTATTAGATACGGAACACGTGTGTCAGTGGATATTGTCTTGCTTGCGTCGAAAAGCTTTTCGAATCATAAACCGATGCTACATACATACGACTATTTCAAACGGAGCAAATTTTCACTAGATAACATTATTGCGCGCAGGATAAAATTTTGTTGCGATCGTTGTTTACATACATAACGATTATGATGTGTACGAATAAAAGCAGAGTCCGAGGTACACGAATCTTCGCCATGCCGTAAGTAAACGTCAAACATCAGAACAATCCAAAGTTCGGTTAACTGTAACGCAAACACTTCAGAATGGTTGGAAGCTTTCATTTCGTCTCTCTCGTGCCCCGTGTTTGTCTTAACGAGTGTATTTTAATCCTCAAGTTTCTCAATTAATCCGATCTCTCTGAGCCCGCCTTGTGTGCCTTGGTGAAATCGATAAGGCGCCGCTAGCATAGCTATTCGATTTGTATTTCTCTCTTCTATAATGTATTATACATATGTACTGTCGATGTTAATTTTCATCTTTTTTCCGCTTTGCGTATTTTCAAGCGAGATATAATCTAAATTTGGATCTGATTAAATTAATCAATGATTTCAATTGTTATTATAAAATTGTACGTATGTATAAATTTTTAAATATTTTATATTATTTAAAAAATGTTTAAATATTTTTACTATTCTTTTCCTTTTCGTTTTCAATTTGCCGCGAAAGTAACGCGAGTTTGACAAATACATTTTATTTGCGGTTTATACAGAAAATGTACAATAACCGTTGCGAACAGGATTTTTCTGTGTTTGACATTATCGACACGGCATTGTCCTTTAGAATTTTCTTAAGATATCCAGCAAACCGAGAACGCATTATTCTATTGCTTTCTAGTACGAAGAAAATTCTTTCGATCGTACCGAGCAAACAGTTTTTGATAGCTTCCTTCAATTTGAATAGGCCAATCTAGATTGATAAGCTCACGTGTTGCAATGTAAATTAACTTGGCTGCCACGAGATGACTAAGGATAAGGGATATGGCTAAGGTTAAGTCGGCAGTCGAGGTTACGTGGCTCCAGTATGGAGAGATGGCTATCCTTGATGTGATTCTGTGCTTGCTCTCTCTCTCTCTCCTTCTCCCTTTCCCTTTACTCCGGAAGCTAGACTCAACCCCATCAAGTGTTACTCCCACAAGCTTAGTTTAACCCCGAGACGCCACAAGAGGCAATTAACCTTCCGCCAACCCCTTTGCGCGCGTACCTTCCACCCCTCTTTACCGAGGGCTCACCATGTTTTGATCCACCGTTTCTCGTTCCGTCTCAATCCCTTCTCCCTCTTTCATCCCCGTGCTTAATTCGCCGTCCGATCTCGTCGCGCCATACCGTTGATGTCCTACTCTACACATTTGCATAATCATGCTCAATTCCCAATGCTAATTAGAGGTCAGCGCTGGTAGCCTACCCGACGTTGGCGAATACACGTCGGCCTCCATCATCTGTGGAGCCATAGCGTGCCTGAGAGTTGTCTCGCATCGCGTCACGTCACGTCACCGCGTCGCGAAAAAAAAAGACGATAAAAGCGCTTTATGAGGGCAAGGCGAAGCGAAGAGGAAAAGAGGGTGCACGCGGGCGCAAGAAACCGACCAAACTCGCGCGCGAAATCGATTACTCTCTTCGCGGCTGAATTTTTGCGCCGTTACATTATCAACTACTTATCGACGGAAGAGGCGTGGCGAGATCGCCACTTTCATCACGGAACAAAGTAAGAAATCGATTTTGCCACGGCGCGAGGCGTGTGATTCTCGGTATGCCGTCCGCGATCAGATACGGATTAAGTATCGACGCGATATTACGAAAGATTTCCTCCACTCCTTTTTCTCCTTTTTCCTCTCTATCGTGCCCATTCAATCTGCTTTTAAGAATCGCGTCCCCACAGACGGCGTTACATTTCTTTCATCGTTGTAACCGGGGTACGCATACGCACGAAGGTCGCCTAGACATTGAACGTCACGCTTAATTATAGGTTGCCGATACAGATCGTAATTGTAGCCTTGCTCCCCTTCCACGAAATAACCGGCCGCTCCAAAGACAGAACGACGAGATTGATACATTCGGTACGATTCGTTACGCCGCGACCTTGGTTAGGAATACCGATCGGAAAACACTGATATTTGTGCCTCAATAAGCGACAGATGTAGCGAGTAATCAAGCACAATTGTGCTAATTATTCCATTCAGCAATTCCACCGGCATTATATTAGCACGTGTATGTATGCGAATATATAATTGTGTTATTCCGCCCGGGGAATAAGAGCGTAGAAGCAACTTCTGATTAAGTGATATCGCGAAATCGATCGGTTTTCTTTACGCTGCCAGCTGCAAGGAAATGAAGTTTGAGTAGAAGAAGAAGAATATGCAATAGAGTATGTATTAGAGTACCTAATACGGTAAATGTGTGGATGCAAAGACATTCGTACAAATGGGCAATGATTATTTTCTTGTTTCTGATCGGAACGATCAGTCTTTCTACTTGATGCGTTCAACAGACTCCACGATCTGCCCATCTAACCAAATCTAATTGGAATTAGTAGAACGCTTCTGCAAAGCTTTCACCCGACTACAAGATAAGCGTGGGTGGTAAAGGGTATACTCCACTAAAAGCTACGTATATTGGCTGCAATCTCGCAACACGGTACACTCGTACAAGTTTGATATATATATGATATACATATGATATATATGATATATATATGATATATACGATATATATTATATATATAATATATATATATATATATATATATATATATAATATATATAATATATATAGAGCAAAATAGCATTTATCCGAATTTCGGAGAAAGATTTCAAGTGAGAGGATTATCTGCTGATCGCTTTCGAGAATCGTGGCACGCGGACGAGTTTAAAAAAAAGCTCACGTTCACGTGCAAAAAGTCAGCCCGAGATTCGTAATAGCGATTTTTACGCAGGAAGACGAGATTGACGATTGATACCGGATGGAAAGAGAAACCATTCAGAAGCGACGTCCGGAGTATCCGGCATCATACAACTTACAAAGACTGTCGGTGCGTCCCGGCACGGAATGCATTCCGGGCACGGATACAGAAACCGAGAGCGCTTCCTGATGCTTCAACATCTGTCGGCGTCGTTGCCAGGTGAAGGTCCACGCCGCTATGATGGCAATCTGTGCGACAAGGAAGACCGTGCCGGCGATGATGGCTTCGCCGAGGTTGATGCACATGCCCATCGTCGATATGTCCTCGCTTTCGATGAAAACGGTGTCCCTCGTCGCGGAGGCGTTCGATAACTTACCGTCACGCTCGAAACCAAACTTGTCCGTGATCTGGATGGACTGCACCAAAAGGAGATCCTCGCGGTTCTGGGCGCCGGTGGAACGACGACGACGGCGACGTCTGCCGAAGGAGATCACCGAACGTAGCTCACCGGTCGTCTCCTCCTGATCGCACTGCACGGGTTCGCAGGTCGGCATACACGGGGTTACCAGGGCGCGAAATTGCACCACTTCCGAACTCGGGAACTTGAAGGCGTCGAAATGCGACAACAGTATCTGTAATGAAAGCAAACAAAAAAGAAAAAAAGGTTGATAAGTGGCTTCAAAAATTTGTTTGCTAAAATTTTTACACGAATGAAAATGATTAGTAAAACAAAAGTATTGTACAGATCACGATGACTTTATTTCAATAGGGAAGAGAACGAAGAAAGAAAATGTTTTATAATTTTATGAATACGAGAGATCTCAATTTCAGTAAAGGTACAAAATCATATTTCAGACTAATTAATTAAACTCTAGTGTCTGGTGATTTGTAGCAGAAAATTATTATAGCTTAATTTAACTTATGTTTTGACCTACAGCTTTAATAAATTTATTTATAAGATTTGTAAGAGACCTTTTTATAATTAGTAATCAAATGTCAGTAATGATCTTTGTTTCTAATTTTTGGCGCAAAGCGCAGTAAATACATTTCACAGAAGCAAGAGAATTCGATACGTGGAATGTAATAAAACGAACTTCCTCGTACTCCATTGGGGTCTCTTTCGACGGATTGCAAGTCACGTAACCAATTGTTTCACGCCGTTACCTGTCGTTCGGATAATACATAAACACCTGTGCCGAATGGCTCTTCGAAACGCAACGATTTCGCGGGAGGTTTGAAGAGTGGGAAGCAAAGTGCTTTTACCGAGTTCGCATACCGTTAGTAAACTACAGCGCCGATATTATGAGATTTGCGGCGCGTCTCATCGTCACTTCTTCTCTTTCGCCGCTCTTTATTATCCTCTGGTAGCTGCGTATACAATTTCCGTGGTTTTTTCATTGTGCGCAAGAAACAAATTAAAGTGCCATCAAGCGCTTATGTTAACTGAGAGAGAGAGAGAGAGAGAGAGAGAGAGAGAGAGAGAGAGAGAGAAAGAGAAAGAGAGAGAGGGAGAGAGAGAGAGAGAGATGTTTACGTCGAAATGTCAGATTTTTTCCTATCGCTCTTTTTTCTTTTACGAGAAGTTAGGAACTGCCCAACAATAACAAACGTAATCAACGCGGGGCAGGCGCGAAACGCCCGAATATCTTCCTCTTTTTTCCTTCTTATTTTTATTTCTCACACTCGTAATTCATACGCGACGTCGGTGCCGTCGACTCAACTAAGCTGTGTCGCATTAATTCTGAAATTCCGACATGGGCGGTCGTTCGTTCGCAGGATTCAGCATGGATGCGGAATAATCTTATACATATGTCGCTCCCATATAAATTCTCAACCTTATCCCGAAGTCGCAAACGGCGTGATTTCACTCACGATGGCGGGTTGTAAGCAGTGCAAGGAGAAAGGGGAAAAAACAAGCTTTTATAGCAAAGAAAAATTAGATATAAATATACAGAATGCGGATGTGTATGAAGGATATCGCGTAACTCGGCGGGCGTCGGCCGTCACACGCAATATGCGTAAGAGCTTGATCGCTTCAAACTGGTTTTTCGCATCTCACGGCAGCTGCGTCGTTTTTTTTTTTTTTTTTTTTTGCTCTTTATTAGGTAAGGCCATATAACGGCAATTACACGGGATTATGACATGAAAAACAGTCCAAGTACCCGCTTTTACGCGGGCCATTAGAGCACACATATATCCATCCCGGCAAATGGCGCGACCAAGCGCATCGCTGCAATTCCTATTTTCTCGCGACAGGCGGACCTATCCGTTAAAATCTTTTTTATTCGTTTACAATTCCTACGTCGTAGAGAGAGTTATAATTGCGCGAAGATTTTTTCTTCTATTTTTTTTTCACCACTTTTTGATACCGCGATAGCTGGAATTGATCTACGGATATATAGAAGAAGAAGTATGCATTACCCGTATAGAGTCTTCTATAAAACGAACATATGATAATCACTCGTGTTCGCTCGTTAGAGTTGTCCGCGAAATAAGCTCGCTTCACCGAGAAACACCGGACGTAATATATTCATAGCGGTGGCATGGTTCATACATAACGCGCGCATCATTGATTTCTCTTCATTCAGATCATTTGCAACAAGGTCGCGGTGTCGAGCCCCCCCTACTTCCCTCTTCCCCACCGATGCGTCCTTTCCATTCTCCTCTTGAAACTGTGAAAGGTCTGGAGTACGCAGGGTTTAGCGCCACGCTCGTGTATATACACGTCGAAAACTGGTTTCTGCGGCGCATTACCAAGTTCATCGTATTTACACACCGAGCACGTATATTATCAGCGGGAAGTAAGACATTAAAATATGCTTCGTTCCACGTACAGCTTCATTTAGCCGTTTCTTTACCTGCGTTGCGCGTCTAGTGGAACGAGCGGAACTTTATTAACCCAACGTCATCTCGCGCAGAAAGAGTAGCGGAAAGTCCATTCTCCGCGGGGGAAAAGCGAGAGCGAGCGCGCGGTTGCATCCGAAGCGAAGGGGAGAGAACGGGCGTAAAAGCGGATCGAAGGGAAGAGGGTAGGGTAGAGAAAAGCCCGGGGACGCCGATGGGAATCCGAGGGAGAAAAAGAGGGAGATACGCTAGCCTAGACACCGGGAAAAGAAACACGGATTGTATCCGCGGCATCTGGTACACGCCGACGATAAGTCTCCTTCAGCGGGAACAACGTCGGCGATGGGAAAGGACGAGAAGGAAAGAAAGGATGGGATTGGCGGGAAGGGAGAAAGAGGGGGCTGTCATAAATGTACCACGGCAGATCAGTCAGATCGTAAGGATCGCGCCCGCGCTTTTACGGCGCGGCTCAACTTGATCCTCCTGTCTGCTTTATAAGTCGGCCGCGGGCTCTTCTTCCCTCTTTCTTCATCCGCTTCCCTCTTTTCTTCATCCTTCTCATCCTTCCGGTTAGTCCTAACATACGTAGGTACGCGCTTCCGTGTACGAGTATATATATATATGTATATATATATATATACACGTACACGCGGATGTGTGGCAGTTGAGAAATGTTTCCAATTTCATTCAAACCGGTTGTGAAATGGAAGAGAGCCTCGTAGCGCGGCCCGGTTACGTGACGGACATACCGGAAAGCCGAACTTTTGGCAAATTTCTGGTTAGAGACGGGACGCCATGTTGCGCTGTGGAGAGCTGCGCTTCCTCCGACAACGATCATTTCTCTTTCTGTTTTCGATCTAGGATTAATAAAATCCAACGGCGATGCGCCAATTGTTTCTCACGACCCGTTTATCACGGGATTGCTTACTTTTATACAGACAATTCTTCTCATTTATAGAAGGGATGTAGGACGTATTAATGAAATAAATGATTAGATTCCTGTATATATAGGAAACTACATTTGTGTCGATATATTAATATAGAAATTCAGAAAAAAATAATGTTTTCTAACAAACGAGTTAAAATAAGTATTTATGATTTCTATCTTACATTTGCAAAAATCTGCTTCATCTAATAAGATCGAGACTTAAGAATTTTACATCATTCCATATTTTATACTTTCTAACGTGCATGATAGTTTTCGTATTAATTAATTTATGTACACTTCGAATAATTGCATTATAATTACGATATTAATTCTTAGATAATTTATTATTGTAATAGTAAACAGTATATCAAATATTTTTATCAATTTCGAACTAACGTAAATACTACCTAGTGTTCTTGGGGCAATAATTAATTATTAGTCGTCATTTATTATGACCACGAGAGAGGCCTTTCCAGATATTAAGAAAGACAAAGAATCAACAAGTAACTTCCCGCTATCGATATATCTCGGGGTCAAACGATGCCCCTTGTTTACCAAGAATCACTGTTGCGAGCATTTATTACCGAATCTATAATGACGACATACTATCGCAAACGGCGGAGATTATTGATAGCTGATAGCGCAGCGTATATCAAAGTTGTCTCAAGCGTTTTATCACTCACGCTGGTCGACAGGTAAATAGAGGTACGTACGGATAATATACGGCGCGAGCGATTACACGTTGATGCAATTTCTTCAAGTTACGTTTCTGCAGATTAAAATTTACAGACACGCCCATACTCCTTTTCCTATTCGATTAAACGAGAGAAAGAAAGAAAGAAAGAGAGACGGAGGAGAGAAATAAAAATTGAATATACCGAAAGACTTTCCTTACATTTTTGTTCGCCCGACAAAATTCAACAAGAGATCAGCGGCATCGAGAGATCTCTAGTTTCTGACGCTCGACAGGAAATGGGGTTAGCTCTCGTGATCAACCGCGATCAGGAAATCAAGCAACTTGGTGTGCACGTTCGAAACCGGAAAAGGGCGCCGCACGACGCTTGATACAGGAACGGCTGGGTGATATATCTTGATGCTCGGCGTCTTACGTACATACACACATACCTCTTCGTATATAAATTTACTCTTTATTTCTACCACGACTGTTATTACTTTCTAATAAAGCGATATTGCGCCGTACAGCGAGCCGTGCTCTCGCGCGAGCAAATGATGTGGAACGACGAGTTAACGAGGCCGTGTGCCTCTTATTACTCCACCTTCGCTCCACCACGCTCGTTTCTACCTGCCACTATCGTAACGATCCGTTTGTTTTACTCGTCGACACACGAAGGCGTCATCCGTGCGCGGTCCAGCACAGCTGGTCTCGAATATTGCCTCGAAAACACAATATGTAGCCGAAGAAAATCCTCCGATACTTGTCTCGATGCAAAAGAAAATGTAATTAAAAAAAAGAGGATGATCCGGATGGATCCCGGGACGTAAGAACGGATGCTCGAATTATCGGGAAATATTTTTAGTTTATTAATGTGCTCCGCGGAATCGTATTTCTCATTTTGGCGTGCAAGTCATGCGGTGCAAAATGTATGAGCGGTATATGTGTAATTGGTCTATCGAGGTCATATACGTGGCAATCGCCTACCTATTAACCGCGCGAGAATTATTGTACTTCCGCTCTAATGCGTTTTCGCTCTAACTCACCCACGATACTTCACGCGTCGCGAAGAAAAGAGAGAGGATTAAACTATTTTTTCGCACGATCTAATGGGATCGCAAAGTCAATTCCCGCGTTACCTTATGCGGAAAACGCGGAAGTAATAATCACAGCTCTCTACGAGCTCGCGGTCGTTTTGAACGTACCGGTATGCTCCATTATTTAATGATCCATCTTCATATATTTGAATGGAAGAACGTCTGTTCTCAATCATGTATATACGCGTCATCTGCGAGTGTTTTCCTTTTTCTTACAGCCTCCCTTATAAGACGGATTTCGCGAAAGAATTTGCGCGCGACAAGGGTGTATTTCAATTATTTAAACGGTCTCGTATAAATATTATTCTTCGCAATATATCCGTCAAAAAGTAATTGCTAAAAAATCGAAATATATCGAGGGATACAGATGATGATCGAACGAATCCCGCTCGAACTCGGCACCGAGGGTAATCTTACCCTCCCTATTATGGAACACGCGAAAGTAATGATCGTTGCCAGACCAATGTGCCCGCGTGCCAGGCATGTCACGGCACGTCATCGCCAAGACGGCGGCGCATCATCGACGCGACCTATTACAGTCCGGGCAAATTGCTTCCCGTCATAAAATCCGTCCGAATGATTGATTAGCATGAAGTCAGATCGACCGGTTGACTCGTGCCCGCTTCCATCTCTCGCTTTTTTCCCTATCCAGCCGCGCGTATTTCGAGGAGTAAAAGCACGCGGCGCGTTCCCAAGATGTTCACGAGCATCGACGTTATCGGCGTCAATCATCTCGATCATCTCAAGGCCTTGTCGGTTCCAGGTGTGGCACGATTGCCAAATTAATATCAGTATATATACATATATATATGTGTGTAGGTGTGTATGCGTATGTACATATATATATATATATATATATATATATAAAACGGATGCGAAGCAGCCGCGCGTGTATATGATATCACATCTGCCCCGCGATTCTATAAAATGATAGTTTTTGCTCCCGCAGTTCTTCCTTTATTGCACTTCGCATCCGCTTACAGCTGCGACGCGCGAGATGATCGAGTACCAAGACGTTCTTGTTAGAACCGTGCCAAGAGGGACATTTAGTGCAAGCGTGCCGACTACATTCACTTGGTTGAAAATAATTTTTCATTGCTGACAGCGTTATGTTCATTTAACAAAAGTAAAATTTTGTCCGTTTGCATCGCTCGGCGATTATTTATCTTTTTATTGCACATTTATCGATCTCTTTTTCCGTATGTAATCAAGTATCGGATCCGATTTTGTTATTTTTGCAAAAATGATATTTATCGCAGAATTACGTGACATGTTGAGACTTACCTTGCCAGTGAGGGCCGATTTGTAAAGTGGTCCCATGATGACGTGATCGGTAGGACAACCGTCGGAATCGATCAGAATGATTTCACTGGAGTCGACACCGTCCATAGCGACTAGCTCGCGAACAAAGATCTCGTACGGGCTGTTGGGATCGAGGATCTCGAATTTGAGCGCCAGAGGGTCGCCGACTTCGGCCGATGGGATTGCCTCGTTTCCGCTGCGATCGGTAATCTTCATGGCGACATTCGGCGAATCGACGATCACCTCCTCCGACAGGGCGGGCGTGATGTCGCCGTGTACCCCGAGATCGACTTCATTAGACACGGTCTTGTTAGTGAGGTCGTACTGACAGGTCACAGCCAGTCCGAGATCGGAGCTGGTGACGATGGTGTCGTGATGTTGGATAACCACGTCGTTCAAATACCGGCCGAGACCCTGCTGCCTTATGTTACACTCGAGATCGTCGTACGCCATGCGCAACTCAAACTCGAGCGCACCTTTGACGTCCTGCACGCACGAGTTGGGCGAACCCTTTGCGTACACCTTGCCGTAGAAGAGCTTGCTCGTTTGAATTCTGGTTACCATATCGCCGGCGCGGCAATCGATGGTCACGTTGTAGCAGGAGCTCAACTCATACGTAGACGCCTCCGGTACGTCGAGATACGGTTCCTGAAATTATCGTTTATTTTTGGACCGTTACTCATTGCTCCTCGTGTCGAGAAGTACCTATACTATTCGACGTAAATCGCATTAATGTGCGATTTGTCGTAGTATTAATTTAAAAGAATTATAGTGGGCACGATAGTGATAATAAATTTTAAAGTACGCGAAGCATGCGGATGTGTTTCGCAATTAAACTTTACGAAGCTACTTCACGATTTATTGATCACTCTTCTATTTTGCTCGCTTCACGTGGTTGGGAGATTTTGATAGCTTGCATCGGGCTTACACAAAAATTCCCAGAGAATTTATGATGAAAATCGAACAGCGAACAAAAAGGGTGCATCGAAACTCTACGCACTGTATTGATCTTCAGTGATATAGTTGGCATAACAATTAATATGTTGCAATATTCAACGACAAACGTAGGTAAAATAAGAGCGTAGAGTATCTACAATTTATATAGAAAATACTACAATGATCTTTTTTTATTTTTAAATTTTCTTTACGTCATCTAACAAAAACTATACATTATTTTATATGTTATCGAATTGATTTTCACATTTCTGATGTAATATATTACATCAAATGATAATTTATTTGTACAAATAATTAACCATACTCTTTATTTTCAACATCTAAAGCATCGCATTTCCATTTATCTGATATATCGAAAACCAATAATTATCAATCGCGAGAATGATATGTACATACTCGTACATTTTCATTTATATCGTACAGAATGATAATCCGCTCTGATTCGCGTGCATGTTACTTTACAAAGAATTATTCGAAATCGCTTTACATGACGCTATTTATCGCTTTCCATTCGAAGCTCGATTCGATGGCCCTTTCCGATGAAACAAATTAATCGCGAATATTGCGCTGATAAATACACTTGACATTTCGTACTATTTCTGCAGTTAATAATTTGTATATTTGAGATGTGCGCCGCTGTTGATGCTTGCACAACCCCAGTCACGGATTCTACGCGCGCTCTGTGATCATTCTCCCATTATACATATATTATTTGCTTCTCTTCGAATGAATAATCGCCCGTGAAATTCATATGGCCAATAAATTATCCGTGTCGCGACGTCGATGCCGATATTTCAAGTCGCACGATACTATTTAAATGCCTCATTACAACAATTATTCGTGTTCGCAGAATTGATTAATGCTTGTATTACGACTTGTTTCTGTATAAAACGCGGATAATCGAATTTCCGACGAATTGGTGGTCGCTAAATCTTTCTTTTGATTTTCTCCCGGAAAACCGAGCGCGATTCGGACGAACTCGAGTGCTATCCGAGAGTTCGATAGGGAAAGCGTCTGCGATGGAAACTCGATTTTCCGCGAATGCGCCCTCGGCGGATTGTTCAACCTGGTTTGCGTGTGTGCGACGTAATCGCGTTTATAGAAAATCCCCACTGGCCCTTTCAAGAATCCGCACTGCGATGCGATGAGTGAAACGACGTGGTGGTCGTGGAATTCTATTTTAAACACTCCCGATAAATTAAATCACATAGGACGCTCACGAGCAAGTAAATCGGTACGTGACAATGTCTCTTCCCGTAACGTAACAAGAATTTTAGCAATTTATCATTTTTTTTTTTTTTTTCATTATATTATTGTTCGCCATGACATGTTTATCAGAGGGAATTCGCGCAATGTTTGTATAACTATTTGTATAAAACTCGTAAAAATCGTGGAATTTTTCTTACCTGAATGTCGGAGAGAGTTGCACGGGTGTGATGACTGAGACGGCAGACCATATCACCAGTGTCACCATAATCGTAAGAATGGCAACGGAATGGCGAATTTAGACACAATTCTCGGCATTCGTCGGACGTGCCGACATCCTGATAAACAGAGTCCACAGTCTTGAGTATTCGGCCGGCCAGCTTCTTAAATTCGCAAAGTTTCACTGGCTCTTCCACGCAATGGTTTTCCAAATAATCCACTCCCTTCGCGGCCTGGAAGGCATTCGAGCCGGCAACTGTCAACCTATCCATTTCCGAAAGTTCGCATTGCTTGGTGGCGTTGATGTAATTAGCGGATCTGCAATCCAAAGAAAAATTCTCATAAATGATTTGTCGTCGAGCTAATCACGAGTTATTTTAGCTTCTTATCTACGATTTGCAGAGAAGATAAGTTTATCGATAAATTATCACGAAAAACTGTTATATATAATTCTGCCGTTCTGATTAATGATTCACGTCTTTCATCATATCTATAATTTCTGTCCATTTCCGAGAAGTTGATAAAACATTTATTGACCGTAGGAATTAGTCACAATTGCAAAAATATTCATCTCGAAACGCATAAGCAAATAATAATAATTTATACGCGTCATAAATTTCGTACATTTTTCATATTACTTTAATTAATAAAATATAAAAATAAACGTTATTTTTAAATATAATCAAATACATTTTCAAGTAAAAGTTATTTTAATAAATATGATATATATGTATACATAATATGTCGCTTTCAGACGGAAAATTGAATGTAAGTACTCAGAAGTTAAGAATGAAATGCAATCTGTTTTACTCCTCATGCACGGCGTCACTTAGTCTCGCAGTATGTAAAAACATACGAGAGGACGCACGTGCTGTCTCCGTATAATCGTCATAGCCGTGCTAATCTCGGAAGGCGAGTTGTAAAGAAAACACCCACGCTCCGAGCGCGCATCCGGGTTTCGTTTCCAGAGTGGCAGCGGAGATGCGACGGCACGAAGTCTGTCCGCTGGAATAATTGCTTTCCGCCACGCTTTACTGCGCCGTAATGATGCGTGGTTAATGATACTAAACGGAACTAAGCAAGGAACAATTAAGAAGACGCTAATTTACTAACGTTCCTTTTCAGACGAGAAGAGAGAAAAGAGGGGACAAGTGAATGTCGCGCATGTACGCTTGGTCCATTGACATTTCTCTCTTTCACGACCACGACGCGAATTGCATTCGTGAATAATAATGCATTCGGCGTAAATCGAAAAAAGAAAGATCACATCACGATATGCCAATATTTGTAAAATTGTAACAATGAGAATAATCTATAAATTTGAGTGGCAATCCCTCTTCAACAAATTGACATCCATTTTCATCTTATAATTATATGGACGATTTAAATGATGAAGCGACGTTTGCATTAACGTTTCAAGTGCTGTATGAGCACGATACGATGACTGTGCGATCGACACTCGAGTTTGCTTTTAATTGAAATTTCCTATTTACTGAAATTCCTCTAGTTAAATTATTATATATGATTAGCTGACATTCCGATGATTTATTTTGATCAACTAATTATAAGTTACAGCAACAACAAATTTATTCCCGAGACATAAAAATTCAAATCTGGGAAAAATATTTTTGTATCTGTGAATAACTTTTCCGACAATATATACATAGATATTTTATCGGTTTTGGAAATCGATAGAAATACCGGAAATGATGGAAGATTCCAAATATAAAACGGTAGAATTATTCGTGGTTACAAAAATATTTATCTCAAGCCTGCATTGCGTATGTACTCTGGTCACTATAGAATTGTTCTGTAAACATTTATATTGCAACTTTATACATATCGGTGGGAAATGATACTATTTTATTGCATACGGTGTATAGAAGAGAGTCAACAGCATATTTTATCATATTTTTTATTTGATCTTTCTCTATATTCATCACGTGAGCTGTTGTGGTTACAATATAACCATACTTCAAAATATTTTTTATATCGATAGTTAATTTACGACTTGATTGAAACTGAAACTTTAATGTGCACTTTTATATTAAATTAATCTAACATTCAGAAAAAAGAAAGAAAATGATTCTATGTATCATCCACGCACATTTATACAAATAAATATATTTATGTATATTATTTACAAAAATTAAATTTTAGAAAATTATACAATAGCTGCGGTAAATCTAAGCTCTCGTAATCTAACTAATTTTCTCGAAGCAAATGACTACTCTTTCGAACAATCGAGATGTCTCGATTACCATGATTACTTATAATCTGTTTCCTCGGGTCTGCAATTTTGTAAATCGATAGGGAAACGAGAAGATATTAAGGGTAAAAGCGTAGAACGCGCTGTCCATTAAAACATGTGCGGTCGCATTCTTGTCGCAACCGCAACTTCCTTCATTCGCGTCCGCTTGATGTAGCGCGCGTAAACGCGTGTTCAACATACGCAACATATTTTCGAGACAAGAATCCAGGAAAATTACGCGGTTCTTTTGTTCCTCGAGATCACGTCTTCACCTCTGGCCGCTTTATAATCCGGGATTACGTATTCCCAGTCGAACATTTCCTAGACATAATCCGGAATAATTTTCGGCTTGACCGAGACATTGAAGTCACCATCTTGTTTCTCTCTCCCCCCGAAAGAGAGCAGAGTTTCGAAAGAATTAAGCAAAAAGACGAAAATCGCAGACAAGATTTCCCGCCGCTGCATCATCATCGAATCGAAGTTTGTCTTCGGAACTGGTATCCGAACCGGCGCGATGGGGTGGAAGCCGCTTCTGCGGGGCCCAGAAGCGGCGAAGGGTGAGGCCGCCAAATTTATTCCACGTCGCTCCATCGATTTTGGATTATATTGCCTTAAGACCTGAATAATATTCATGGGTGCCACGTTATGATTTCAATATTCCTCGGCGCGCCACGCCGAGGCAAAGTCGAAAAATCACCGCGATCTTATGCGGACGGGCGCGATAAACCCCCGATCGAGAAATATAATCGAATTGGTAGCGGCCGTCTGTAGTTCCACGATTATCAATGTGCCTCTCGTCCTTACATATTCCGTACCTCCGCGTTACCGCTTCGCGAATCGATTGGTGGGGTTTGCCGACGTCAACGTTGCGCAAAGCGCGGTACCGCGACAATGGTCCGCAGTAAAACCGACGACGCGAAATGAATGGGTCACGAAAAACGCCCGTTCCCCTAGCTTTGTTTCGCGGCGCTGGTGCATCAAATATATGTATATGTGAATGAATATTTGCTCGTTAAATCAACAAGTTTCGGTCCAATTGCTCGTGATTCAAATACAATAATTGTCCGATGCTGTACGTTGCCTCTCTCTCTCCTCCCGTCCCTCATCCCTTCGCCAGCGCAATACGTCGTTTATTATTCATTTTACATGCAAATGCGGACAATCGCTTTTATACGAAAAATTATTTTTAGCCTATTCACTGATTGCGCCTCGCGCATTTATTATACGTGTGCTCGCCGAAAGATTTGTCATTCATGCTTCGCTGATGGAGATATCGAATCGCGCGTTGGACGTGCAACATCTCATTATCGCCGACGCGCAAAAACACGATTAAGAAAAACAAACGCGCGATGGTGTAGAAAGAGTTGTAGCGACGCTATACCGAGTTAAAAATATACCGGATATTATAAAAACACATTGAAATCGTAGTTAACGAGTTGCAGTAAGTTGCAACAAACCCGCGGTGTCGCTAACGATGATGGAGTACGTCAATCACTCTTGCAAAACTAAAAGCCACGATGTATCTCACAGTTTTTTTTTTAAACATAATTCATACAGTTTATTCACGGGTTATTAATTATACGAGGGAAATAACTATGCTATCGACGAAGGATGATTATTATCCATTGAATTGTTTTGGTATAAAAATAATTGTGATAAAGTGCTTGAAATTTTTATATGAAAATTTTATATCGCTTTATACAATAGATATGTTACGTTGTATAATGTTTTTGTCCGCCGTGTTGACAGGTTGACATTGTAACGATCATGATATTAATTTATGGTGTAATAAGATTTATTACATTGCTTGTGCACGCGATGAATAACGCGGTCCGAGAAGAATAAAAAAGAAAATAATTATATATATATTTAAACTCAATTTCATTTTCCTTTGCAATTTGAAACGAAAGTAAATTAGAATATTCATAGTGCTCGTATATATCTTATTATTATAGTTTGTCGCATCGATTCCGTAACTTTATGAGGAATGTTTTGAGGTAACTACTTTTGAAACAACTTGAGAGATCCCTTTCGTGTAGAACATCTTGTTTATCGTATATCGTCAAACTAGCTTCTTAGGTGGCATTATCGACGAGAGTCCTCTACTTTAGGGAGAAACGCAAGGAGATACGGCCACTAAAGGTCCGGTTCCTCGAAGTTTATTTCGGACAAACGATTCGGATATCCCCCATGGTAAATAATTAATAGATGAAAAGGTAAAGACAATATATACACGTGTTCTACACTCGTGTCTTTTTCCACGTCTATCATTCTTCTAATCAAATTGATTTGTTTTTTTTTGTAGGTGGTGTCAGGATAGTTTTAGATGATGTCAGGGCGTAATTCTAATAAGGCTTCTAGTGGATCTTAACAAAGGATCTTTATTAGGTTAAACTGTACTCGATAGAACACGCACGATGGCTCACACTCTGCGAGGAACTGACCTCTTAACCTTCTCCCTTCTTTCTTACGCAGCGTCGCCAGCGGTAGAGGGGGGGGAGAGGAAACGCAATTCGCCGCTCACGCGTATATATAAATGAATATCGGTAGACTAATAATTCGCCTACAGTCGGCCAGCCTGACATTACGACCGTCTCGGTCGTACGTATAGGAACAAAACGTATTAAGTAAATATAGCACTTTACTTTCTCTCTCATTGTGGGAACCAGTAAATTTGCCTAATGTTAGCAATAACTTTATCGAGGCCGACATGGCCAATGTCATCATGACACGTACGGATTACATTACTTTCCATTGATATCGGTACATAAAATAAGAGTTTTTTACCCTTATCTTTACGGTAAACAAGACCGTCTCGCAATTCAAAGAATTTATCCTCAGATTTTTCTAATTTATTTCGAATGTTTACTATATTTACATCCCGATCTTGTTGAATAGATAAAGTTCGGTCGAACGAATTAGCTTCTAATATTAGAATGTTATGACATCGACTCAACGCGTCGACATGATTCATCTGTGTACCGGGTCGATGTACGATTTGATAACAGTATTGCTCTAAAAATAATGCCCAACGATATATTCGCGGATTAACTGTCTGTTTACTTAA